TGGATATGGAGTGTTAAATTTTTTTTTTTAAAATAGAATGCTGCTTACGCGATTTCCAGTTGCGGACAACTCGTGAAAGCTCGGAATAAACGCTCCCATTCAAAACAACACAAAATAAATTACAACATGGATAAAACACTAGAAAATGGCTATAGAATTGGCTGAAAGCGCTTAGGACAATAAAAATGATGTAAAATTTTTGTACTCACTTACTCCTCTTACAAAGCGGTAAAACGTAAGAATAGTGGAAAAACTTAATAATAATAATAATAATAATAATAATAATAATAATATATATATATATATATATATATATATATATATATATATATATATATATATACTTTAATATATATAAAATGGCGAATTCACTTCACTAACTAAATTTTAAAGATGATTAATCTACTAACCAATCGATGAATGTTAAGATCCTTGTTTTTAAAAATTATAAACTGTATTAAGTCTTTCTTAAATACGCAAGCACTTTCGATGGTTCTTCCGGTCATCATCCGACATGGAAACCATTTTGTTTTTGGTCAGATTCAGGTAGCATCCGAGACGAAAAAATATAATCCAAATCGATGCTAGCTGTATTTTACAATTGAACAAGTAGTTAGTGTCATTATACTTATTTTTACACGTTGCAATCTGGAGAGTAGTCAAGTTTCTTGAGTCCCTAGACTTGTTGAGGACTCTGTTATGTTTCCTAATTATTTTTTCCAGATTATCAGCACAAGTGTAGCTTAATTTAAGGGTATTATAATTGAATATTTTACCGTGTGGATTAGTTTTGGGATCGGGGAAATGTTTTTTGAAAAGGTTTCGAAATTTATGTCCTAGTTTAGTTTTAACCATTAGTTTGAAAGGGGGAGTAAACCAAATGATCTTCTTTTCTTAATATGGTCATAATTAACTGGATTTCTATATTCCATAGTGGTACTCCTATCGTCAATATTTCTAAGAGCAGAATTATAAAATTCACTATGTTTATTAAAAGCTTCTTTACTAGAAGAGTTAGTACTTAACCTAAATTCAATAGAGGGGGGTATGTGCTTAATAACAAAAGGGAGTGGTTGGAATCCGGGTTAAAATTAACCTTCATATAAGGCTGAAAAGAGCTATTATTAAGGTCTAGGGTGACATCCAGAAAATCTACCAGTTTAATGTTAGACGAAACTATAGTCTTAAACTCCCTGTAGATCATTTTTCTAATGCGATATACCTTAGTTTTTGTAGAGTCTTTAACTACTAATAAGCCATTATCTCTATATAATCCTGCACTGTCAGAATCTAGGCATTCAAAGGCACTTAAATTGTATAAAAGAATAATGCCACCAAGTCAGAGGCTTCAGCAGAATCTAAAGAACCCATTGAGATGTCAAAATTATCACTGGAAGTCTTTTTGGTCCACTGTTCTTCATTGTAAACCAGAATAGAATTTCGGCATTTCAAGATTTTATCCATATCATTCGTAGAAATATTAGAGTATTCCTGAGCGAACTCCAAAGCCAAATTGAACAGATCTTTAGATATGGAGGGAGAATAGTCAATAATGTCAAACTGCAAGAAAGTGCAGTTGTCCTTATTTTGGATGCCAGTAAACCAGTTGATAACATCAGCGGTATTAATCCACTGTAAGATTCCAGACACTTACATTGGATTAATACCGCTGATGTTATCAACTGATTTGGACTCTTACTCTGTGTGTGTGTGTGTGTGTGTGTGTGTGTGTGTCTAGGCTGTATAACAGTTGCTACCTCCTCCAAATGAAAAAAAAAAGCATAGTGTCATGAGAAAAGTTCCCAAACTTGATAAAAATAAAGATTTATCGTCAAAATATTTGTTATTATTAAGAGTAAAGACGTGAAATTTATTTATTGATTATTTTTCTAAATTTTTTTAATCCTTTCCAACACGTTCAGAAATTTGATTAAAAATCTTGATTTTTTGCGTCAGCGGTAGACCAAAGGTTAATATAGGGATTTTGGTGTCTTTTTTTCACGTTAAAAACACATTGCAAAAATCATAGGCTTTTTTTATAATATATATATATATATATATATATATATATATATATATATATATATATATATATATAATATACATACATGTATACACTTACTAATATACTCTCTTCAAATGTCAAGCCAGATCATGCACATGATAAGTCAGAGTAAATAATGTGATTTACAACCAATTTATCCTCATCAAATAACACTCTCTTAACACAAAAATTTGTTTTTCTTCTCTCAGTTGAACTGATGACGCCATAATTTTCTCTCCGGCGAAACGCGTCTTTGTTTAAAACTTTTTAACTTTATCTTCACACCCACCCTCACGCACACACACGCGCGCGCGCACACACACACACACACACATACACACACACACATACATATATATATATATATATATATATATATATATATATATTCCATTTTGTTGTTTTAGTTATTCATTTCCGAAATAAATCATTATAACGAGGTTTAATATTGCATCATTTTCGACCAAAAATTCTATTTGCTTTAAACTTGAAACTGCTTATAAAAAAAAAAGATTTCTTCCTCTCTTACTTTGTGCGAATAACTATTGCAAATGGATGCAGGAAGTGGGATTTGAAGAATTTGCTGGGAATGATATTCACGTTTTACTGGTATTGATAATGAGAACATTACAGCTGAAGAGCTTAACAGATCTCCAAGTGTCTTGTTCAGAAAACTCCCCCACAATCCACATTTGACGCCTCCACAATCAGTGTTAATATTGAAGATCATATTTAAAAGTCTCAACAAAATAACACGTGTTTTAGAACGAATTGCAAAAAACAAAACAAAGAACAAACAAACAAAAAACAATGCAAATTTTGAACACAGCATAAGATTTAAAAGCGTATGTAGATGAAGAAGAGACTTGAAGCAACAGAATTCAGGTTCAACAGAAGGATGCTGAGAATACCATGGACAGAACATGTGAGCAACGATGAAGTTTTAGAGAAAATGAAAACAAAAAGAAACATACTTAAACATCAGAGACATTTGAAATTTCTAGGATACCTAATGAGGAAAATGGGCTTGGAAAATTTAAAACACACAGGTTGAAGGCAAGAGGGACAGAGGAAACCACAGAATAATCTAGCAAAAGAGCGTGTCAAAATGGTTGGCAGGGATTGGGGGAGAGAGAGAAAGAGAGAGAGAGAGGAAAAGAAAAACACTAAGACCTACAAAGGACAGGAAGTTGTGGAGAGTCATGATCGCCCACATCCTTAGGAGACACGGCACAAGGAGTAGAAGAAAAAACTGCTACTTTAATGATCTGGAATTGAAATGAAAAAATGAGACGCGTACCCTAAATTTATCGTAAAAGTTCTTATGTTTAACATCATAAAGCGACAGTTAAAAATTTATATGGCTTATTATGAGGAAAGAGAGCTTAGAAAGTTTGATGCTCACAGGACATATTGAAGACAAGAAAATCAGATGAAAACAGCTCATAACAAACCCAACAAGCATTTAGGAGAGACAAAAAGACAAAATTTACTAAGACCTACAAAGGACAGGAAATTGCGGAGAGCCTTGATCGTCAACGTCCTGAATGAAAATGGCACAAAGCAGCAGCAGCAGCAGCAGCAGAAGAAGAAGAAGAAGAAGAAGAAGAAGAAGAAGAAGAAGAAAGTGTAAATGCTGGATTTCTCAGTGGGCCCACGTTGCTGACGAATGTTTAGATTTAAAGTAGGTTTAACAACAATATCTTTAACGACAACACAGCGTAAAAATGCCATAAACTGATAACAACCAAACCAAAGAGGAATTCTGAATAATTCCTACAGAGGTTTATGCACAAAGATCTCTATGTGAAAAATACAGGCGTCTCCAAATGTTGTCTCCTTTTATATTAACGATCTGCCTAAGTAAAATTCTCAAATCTTTAATAAAAAAAATATATGCAAACGATACCACGTTTTATTCGAAAATTTAGATAACCAGAATAGGACAGCTGATCTATCCTCTGACGCAACTCTCACAGTTCAAGGGACTCGTAGCATTCAATGTCTACAAAAAAAAAAAAAAATTCTAAATTTTATCCCGTCAAGATGAACATCTGAACTCCCAACTGTTCAACTGTTCACGACACTTAACTAACTCTACATTTAAATGATAACACTAACATTTTTAGACAGTTAAAACAACATGCTTGCTCGCGTACTCAATTCCGGAAAATCCTTGTTGGCAACACAACTATACTTAAACATGAAAACAATAAACAAAAACTAAAAATTCTTGAAGCTATATACATAAAACACTTGAAACCTAACCTGAACAAAATAAACTATGAAATCTCCCCAAATATTCTTAAATGCCAATGCATATGATTAATAACAGAATCCATTGGTTTATACCAACGGCTTCCCATACTTAATAATTCTCGTTTTCACTCTCACATAGTTATCTGTGACGTCACGAGTTGCGACGCGATTTTCGCTTCCACATCTCGTATACACGAGTTTGTCGTTGCTTTGAAATTTTTCATGCAACAAAAAACTGACTATCATTATTGTTTCGTTCGTGTATTGGTTGATATATTGAAAAGTAATTGTCATCTTTGATAATGGCTACTGTAAGCCGAAAGCTTAGATTGGATTTAAACATGTATCAATATGGTGATTTCCTTTCGTCTTTCAATGATAATGTTATTAAGTTTATCAGACAATATGAAAGGAACTTACTTAAAATAAATAGATAAAACTTGTCTATATTATTTAATGAAACATTTAATATATATATATATATATATATATATATATACTAGCTGTATTTGTTAGTAATGAAAGAAGTAGCCTACATAGGGCAATGCCACGTTAAAAAATTTCAGAATATTACTTTTGGAACTCACACGTTTTATCTCAGAGTTCTCTACACTTTTAATTAAACTCGACAATGTACTATCGACGGTCTGGTTACGTTCCACTTAATCACGACCACGATCTGAAATTACCTTCGGCTTTCGGCGATATCATGTTGAGACATCGCTTCTCCTCCGATCACCGAAGTTAAGCAACATTGAACTTTGTCAGTACCAAGATGGGTGGCCGTTCGGGAGAACCAGATCCTGTAAGCTTGATGTGCGAGTGGTGTAATGAATAAAGGATCGGAATAAGAAATTGGAGAGTCGAGTTCGAATTCTAGTCTGGCTAGTTATATTCACTCACGGGCAAATATCCGTGGGAATAAATCAACCTTTTCTCTGCCCAGCTATGGGTTAAACAGTCAGAGTTGCATCAGAAAATCATTATTATCCCAAAAAATCTTTTACAATCCAAAATATGTTTCGTCTTTAAATAACCTTAAAAATGTTGATAAGCCGTAAAAAAAAAAAAAAAAAAAAATCAATAAAAAAATGAAATTCCGTTTCTTTAAACAACGACTTTAACATTGGGAAATGCAGAAGTTGAAGTAGTGTTATAGAGAACTGCAATGGTGTTTACAGGCCAGGGTGAGGCATTGTTTCGAAAAAAAAAAAAAAATCGAAAGAAGAAGAAAAAGTTGTAGAATAGACAGCAGGCGTCTTCAGAATGGTTGCTATTTTCCAGACGGTCCGTTATTATATTATTCGGTCAAATTATCTCGGATATTTACGCCAAACATCACGCCAACCATCACGCCAACCATCAACAAAGTCAGAAGGTCATTTGAGCGGTATTCAGTGTCATAACATAGCTGGCCAATATAGGCGGTTGCTGGGCGACCAATTCGTATTGCTTCATGGCCGGGTGCCCAGATCAGTAGATCACTCGCGTGTTCTTGTTTTGTTCGCCAATAGTCTCCTGGGCATTCTGTGTTCGCGTGAGATTGTAGAAATATCAGGTATGAGTCCATAGAGCTGTGATTTAGTTAGATGTCTTCAAGAGATGTAGGGTATAGCTCTAAATATCCGAGAGTAGGTTCCATCAAAATTAGACTCTAGGGTTTTAGTTAAAGTCCAGGCAGTGGCAATATGCATTAACACCGTGTACAATCTGCAATTTTTTTTTAATTCTCGTCCTGACGCCTACTTCATTTGATTGCGGTTTGAACGCATTCAGCGTTTTCGTGTGTCCGATCGTCCGATAGACTTTCAGAAATTTATAGTTTTCAACAGAATCGTACAAAAATTTAAAGCGCCGGTAAAAAAAAAAAAAAAATTACAAAGAAGATTCGTTCATTAAACCCAATCCAAAGGCATTGTTAATGATATGAATAGTTTTCTACGACGAATAATTTTTTGTGGTTTATAATAATTTCACCGCAAGCAAAGCATTAAGGAAATTGATAAGCAACGAGTTTTTCTTTTTCTTTTTCTTTTTGTCGCCGTTGCGTTCCTTCCGGAGATAGGCGATCATTGGTTTAAAAAAATTTCTACCTCGTGTTGCTCTAAGAAGTTTTCCTCGCTGTCTTCCCCTATCTCTCTTGCCCCGTGAGTGTTAAGTTTTCCAAGCCTCCCTTCCTCATGTGTACAAAGAAATTTCAGCTGTCTTTTTCTGATTTGGGGTATAAGTATTTTTTCTTTTTCCATTTTCTTTAAGGATTCGTTGTTGCTTACTCGCTCCATCCATAGAATTTTCAGTATCCTTCTGTAGGACCACATTTCTGCCGCTAAGTAAGATTGATTATGAGTAAAGCAACAATGTTTTATAATTCCTCTAAAAGCGATGTTCCAGGATGCTCAAATTGTAAAACATTTTTTAAATTGCACGTTGAGTATTTTAAAACATTAATAATCAAAAATATAAATTAAGTTACCTCCCTTAGATATTCTTAACGTTAATTTTTAAATAGTCTCTAACGGAGAGCGTTTCATGCGCATTTACAAGAAAATCCCAACTTACAATGACATTAATTTTTTGTTTTTGCAATTCACCCCTGAAGAAGATAAAATTGAAAGTACTCTGGAAAAATAAAAGAAATGACCAAAACGACAGCGTCTTTCTTAATCAGTTTAATAACAAGAGTAAGAAATTGATTCGAGAATTTGAGAGGATTAAAATAAAAATAAATGGACATGATATGTCTAGATTATTCAACCAAACATGCTTGAATGAAGATATGCTATCTAAACACACACACACACACACACACACACACACACACACACACACACACACACACACACACACAAATATATATATATATTCTCAAATATAAGTATCCACTAAAAATAAAATCTAAGTAATAAAAATCCATCATTTTAGAAATGGCTTTGAGTTAAGATACGAAACTGAGTTTAGAGAGTCTGAGAATGATTTGTATTTATAAGGCACTATTCAACTTTTCTTAATTGTTGACGCATTCCGTGATCGAGACGGGCTGAAGTAAGTCGGATCTAACGACAGTTTCTCCTTCCAAGAGGGACGCAAGTCCGAATCCTACTGGAGAGCGAATATTTTTCTTTAATATGATTTTCCGTATATAGTAGACAGTAGACGAAGATAATTAAATATACTGTTTACTAAATAAACCAGCGTCTACTTAAATATGGGTATTCACTAAAAATAACAAAAATAACGTTTAAGTAATATATATATATATATATATATATATATATATATATATATATTCACAGTTGAAAACGTTCATGAAAATAGATTTGTTTAGAAATATATTCGATAATGCATTTCGCCATTTAAGGCTTCCTCAGATCTGAAAACGAAAGAAAAAGTGTGTAATAAAGTCACGAGAAACGATAGCGCTTAGGGAAAGTACTATTTTATAAGCATGCACACAAATCCACATACACAATGATGAAGCCTTAAATGGCAAAATGCATTATCGTATATATTTCTAAACAATTGTCAAAATTAAAAACTTTGTTGGTTATATATATATATATATATATATATATATATATATATATATATATATATATAGTGGTTGACAATTCGTTTCTGGGCATACCATTCTGCTCGGGCGGCTAGTTAATCCATGTGCTCAGGCACATGATTTTTCACGCCCGATGGGCGTGAAAAATCATGTGCCTGAGCACATTTATTTTTTTATTTTATGATTCAGAAATGATTTAGCATTTTTTATTTTATGATTCAGAACATCTATGGATTATACTGCGACGGTGCTGAGTAAACCTTAGTCATAATTTCTTGAATAAAGAGCATAATCTTGTGGGATCAAGGTCAGTGCACTGAGACCCTCGGTCACGATGTCTTGTGATTTCATGCTAATTATTTGTGGAATACGAAGCGAATGAAGATGATAGTGTAGAGGGTCTTAACTGTAAACGTCTGAACTTGAGAAGCAAATGAATCTAATTCTTTAGAACATTTTCGATAGAAATTATGTTAGAAATACGAGCGGCTAGAGGTGTTCGGTTTGTAGGAAATAGATTGTAGGTGTAAAATAATCTATTATTCATAAGATACTTTTTGAAATCTGTCATAGCTGGAAAGGGAAGATTGTACAGCTTCAGCCCAGACAATACATTCTATGTTATTGCTCTATCCATAACTTAGAAAATGCGGTTTTGATTAAAAGAGGAAATAATTTTAAGTGAAATATATTGAAAGTGTACTAATTTCAGAAACCTTTTAGATCTCACAAAAAGACTCTTAATGGATTCTGGGATAATTAAAAACAATAGCAATGAAAATGAAAACAAAAGCAATAAAACTGATGAATGTGATCGGCTCCATTAAACATCTAGTTACGTCGGGCGGAAACATTTCATTTTAAAGCTGAGCGTCGCTGTTTCTTTAACATTTTAATGTAAACTGTGACAGGTATTCCTTGTCTTGTCACCACATCTGCTCCTTTTTACATATAAGACTCATAATAAAAATTCTTTCTTGAAGCTTTTATTTTAGTTTTAATTTAAGCTAATAGATTAAAATTTAATATTTCTAAGAAGCAAAATGCTTTGCTGTATTTCAAACTAATTTAAAATAACTGGAATAAGTTTTCGATTTGAAAACGTTAAGCATTTTTAGCCATCAGTCATCAAAATATAATTCTCTTTATTAAAAAATATTTTAATAATAATTTTCTGAAACTGTATTTAAGGAATATTAACTGATTTAAAGTTTAAACAAATATTACTTTTAGTTTAAAATATGACAGAAATGCATTTTTAACACTGAGCTAATTGTTTATTTAAAGAGTTGACAGCTTGACTGACAGGCAGAGGTTTATCTAATTTTTTTCTCTGATGGATATATCTGTAATAATTACTTGATTATAACATGAGCGCCTTTTTATATAAGTTTTTAACTAACCAGTAATCTTGAAAATTTCGAAAAATATTCTACCTAATCTAATGTTTTATTGAATTTACGATTAGTAAATATAGTTTTTACTTAATAGCAATATCACTTACAACGTAATACAGAAATTAAAAAGATATAAAATTTTATAAATTATTTTAATTAAAATTTAAAAAAATGAAATCAATTCTTGTAAAAAATTATTATTTACAGAAATTTTTTTTCTGAAGACAAAAGTGTCCAAAACATATTTTATTCATAAAAAAAAAACAATTAAAAGTTTTTCTAATTAAATAATGTCTAATTTTATTGCATTTTTTATTTTATGATTCAGAACAGATTTTCGGTAAACCCCAATGTTTTAAAATGAAAATTGATTTTTTTTTTGCGTGTTTAAATAAATGTGTCGATTTTTGTAATACTCGCATCCATGTACGATATTATCTGAAAAGAAGAGCGACAACTATAGTAAATTTAAATTCTGTACTTATTTGTAGGGGTTAGGTGATATTGTTTTTAAGTAAAAACTATATCTACTAATCATAAATGAAAAGCTTACTACAATTCAGCACCCCACCAAGCATTTTAAAAAGAATTTCGATTTTTTTTTGTGTGTGTACAAGCATGCTGATTTTTGTAAATACGGACATCCATACACAACATTTTCAAAACGTAAGTCCAGTAACTATAGTAAATTGAGAGCCAATGAAACCTAAAATTCAATAAAACATTGGATGACGGAGAATATTTTCCGAAGTTTTAAAGATTACTGGGTAATTAAAAATTATATAAAAAGGCGCTCACGTTATATTCCTCAAGTAATTCTTACAGATATATCTACCGTAGAAAAAAATGAGATAAACTTCT